TGTGGCTGCTGCCCTGGTGTGGTGGAGGTGTGGCTGCGGCCCTGGTGTGGTGGTGTTGTGGCTGCGGCCCTGGTGTGGTGGTGGTGTGGCTGCGGCCCTGGTGTGGTGGAGGTGTGGCTGCGGCCCTGGTGTGGTGGAGGTGTGGCTGCGGCCCTGGTGTGGTGGTGGTGTGGCTGCGGCCCTGGTGTGGTGGTGGTGTGGCTGCGGCCCTGGTGTGGTGGTGTTGTGGCTGCGGCCCTGGTGTGGTGGTGGTGTGGCTGCGGCCCTGGTGTGGTGGAGGTGTGGCTGCGGCCCTGGTGTGGTGGAGGTGTGGCTGCGGCCCTGGTGTGGTGGAGGTGTGGCTGCGGCCCTGGTGTGGTGGAGGTGTGGCTGCGGCCCTGGTGTGGTGGAGGTGTGGCTGCGGCCCTGGTGTGGTGGTGGTGTGGCTGCTGCCCTGGTGTGGTGGAGGTGTGGCTGCGGCCCTGGTGTGGTGGAGGTGTGGCTGCGGCCCTGGTGTGGTGGTGGTGTGGCTGCTGCCCTGGTGTGGTGGAGGTGTGGCTGCGGCCCTGGTGTGGTGGTGGTGTGGCTGCGGCCCTGGTGTGGTGGTGGTGTGGCTGCGGCCCTGGTGTGGTGGTGTTGTGGCTGCTGCCCTGGTGTGGTGGTGGTGTGGCTGCGGCCCTGGTATAGTGGTGGTGGTGTGGCTGCGGCCCTGGTATAGTGGTGGTGTGGCTGCGGCCCTGGTATAGTGGAGGTGTGGCTGCGGCCCTGGTATAGTGGTGGTGTGGCTGCGGCCCTGGTATAGTGGAGGTGTGGCTGCGGCCCTGGTGTAGTGGTGCAGTGTCGCCCTGGTAGCCTGATCTCTTAACAACACATAAGAAGAACTTGCTCGTCAAGCTATAGAACCTTTGAGGTCGAATGGAGCATAATAAGTCAGATTTTTTGTTTGTTAATGCAGTAGGCAAACAAAATAGTGTTGTTTAACATAGATAACCATAGTGTGAGGACGGGTTGCATTAGACGTTTTAAAAGCCTTATAGACTCTCGTGAAGCACTGAACGTCATTAAAGTATTATAGAAACCTGTCTAATTGTGAAAGGAAATAATCCAGTATGATTATAGGAAATTAACAAATCCACATGGGCCGTGATGAGGATTCGAACCTACGTCCGAGAGAATCCCAGACGCTGCCTTAATCGACTGAGTTACGACATGGTATATCTGATACATCACGCTATTGTGATTTCTGTGTGTATTGGAGGAAATTTGTCGGTGCAAGAGGACTGTAGTTGCCTTCGTGAAACTCTTATAGTACTTGGAACAAGATTGTCGTGCTCGTGGATTGCGTTTTGTGATGAAATGCGTCGGTCAACGTAGCCTCGTCAACAAATGCCAAATATTCGTTAATCGACCCGCCAAACTACCCCCCTCCCCCCTACCCTCTCGGTTTATGAAAGAACAACGATTACACACGAATCACAATTGATGATGTTCGAACATTTCTCGAACACGGTCTCGCAGGCGACCTGCGTTCGAATTGCAGCTCTGTCAATGTTTCACTTACGTACTGCAACTAATAATAATAACTAACAGAGCCCGAACACCTAATCTAATCTACGCCTAACTATGTATAGAACTTTAAAATTTAATGATATTAATTTATATATGCAAGCCAAATAATTTTATTATACAATACGTTAAAATTAATGAATGTGTTTTTGGAAAACGGCCGCTGCTTTAACGAGCCTGGCCTGAGGACCGGTCGCCAGAGCCCATCTCCTTGCTCACCCACGTAATGCAAATACGAAAAACGTGTTAACAGAACCTAAAACACCAAACTTAACGTAACCTAGGCTCCTAACTTAACGTAATCTTGACACCTAACTTAACCTAACCTAAACACCTGACTTAACCTAATCTGCTCCTATTTATATAACGAATATTAATATATCGTAATATTAATTTATAGTTAAGAAAAAACGATTTTGAATACACAATACACAGCGCGTTACAATTGATAAATGCGTCTTTGAGAGTCGGCTGCCACCTGAACGAGTCTCACTATACCCCAAAACTTATGTAAATATGTAATAAAATATGTAATAAAAAGACTCATATTTAAGATTTTGTCACTTCTCATTATACAGTTCGTTCAATTTATGACCGCGGTCTTCAAGGTCGGCTGCCGCTTGAAAGAAACGAGTTAACTGAGCGTTAGGAGAGGTCAGGGAGCTGAAGATGGGTCAGAATGATGATGGTAGGGAGTGATTTGAGAAGTGAAGATATAAGAGGTGAAGATAGGAAGAGGTTAAGGAAATGGGAGTGGTCAGGGAGGTGTAGATGCTGGTTGGTGTGTGAGATGAAGATGCTGGCTGGTCTGTGAGGAGATGAAGATGCTGGCTGGTCTGTGAGATGAAGATGCTGGCTGGTCTGTGAGGAGATGAAGGTGCTGGCTGGTCTGTGAGATGAAGATGCTGGCTGGTCTGTGAGATGAAGAAGCTGGCTGGTCTGTGAGATGAAGGTGCTGGCTGGTCTGTGAGATGAAGATGCTGGCTGGTCTGCGAGATGAAGATGCTGGCTGGTCTGTGAGATGAAGATGCTGGCTGGTCTGTGAGATGAAGATGCTGGCTGGTCTGTGAGATGAAGATGCTGGCTGGTCTGTGAGGAGATGAAGATGCTGGCTGGTCTGTGAGATGAAGGTGCTGGCTGGTCTGTGAGATGAAGATGCTGGCTGATCTGTGAGATGAAGTCATGAAATAACCCAAGGAAAAGTACACACACATCGTTTCGATCTGGACACCACTAGGGACTTAGTGAAGCAGAACTCGACTTGACCAATATAGTTTAACTTAGAAATAGAGATGATTAACCTTCCTTACCCAGATAAAATAATTGTGAAAGATGGGAACACTCTCAAGTCTAAGGTCTAGAGAACACTTTCCTACAGAGGTGAGCTTGTTCCCCCCCAGTCATTCTTGCAGTGTATGATGGAATAGAAACATATAGTGACTGGATTCCTTCTCAGGGTCCTTAGCAGTAAAAGGCATTGAAGATCATCCTACCCCCCACACACAGACGGTAAAATGCCATCCTCCCACACAATGACTGACAGCGGAGACCATTCTGCCATACAATGACTGACATTGAGAACCATCCTACGACACAATGACAGATACTTACGACCACACTACCACACAACCACACTAGCGACCCCTCCCCCCTCCCCCCTCCCCCCCCTGCCGCCTCCACCGCACAGTAAGCTGATTCTCCTTCAATAAAAAACATCCCTAACTCTCTCTTTCTCACATACACATACACAAAAACACACACACAGTCTCCTAGAGTGACAAAGGCGCCATAGAGATGAAGAATGAGTTGGAATTTCAAGCCATCGATCGTTTTCTGTAATATATTTTCTGACGTTCCATTATCGCTAATGGAATGCAGTGACCCATTCCCTGAAACGCCTCCCTCCTCCTCCTACCATGCTGTTTGGCATCAAAACCAGAAATACAATTGCAATTTTAACCGTGATTTTTCTGTCACACATCATATTGACAGAGAGCGTCTGTTAATACTTTTTGAAGATGGAGAAGTGGTTTGAGCTGAGATGCGTTGTATTCAACGAGGAGGTGTGTGTGTTTGAGTGTGTGTGTGTGTTGAGATGAGTGTGTCTAGGAATGAGTGTGTGTAGGGGGCGAGTGTTTTGTGCGTGCGTGAGTGTTTGGGTCTGTGTGTATGTTTACTATTTGTGTCTGCGGAATCGAGCTATTAGCTCTTGGACGCCCGCCTTTCTAACCAATCTATTTTTCCTGTATTCTGTCTACTACATATATTTCTACCACACACACACACACACGCCCACATCTCCAGGAAGCAGCCCGTTAGGGTGAAAGAAACTCTGCAAATTTTTTATTCCCCCTCCGCCGGGAATCGAACCCGGACCCTTAGGACTACGAATTGAAGCTGTCTTCGTGCGCTGTCCACTCAGCCGCGAGGCCCCTACACTGAGGGGCATGACTGCCTGTGCGCGAATGTAACGGAATGTAATTCCGTTACATGCAAAATGAGATCACATTAGCGTGATATATCGGTGAGAGTCTTTGGTGCAAGACTGTGGGATAGCTGCCATTATCCCTAATGTACAGTTAGCTACGTTGCCCTGATAATAACATAACTCTTGTAAATGAGAACAATACTAGTGTTTTAGTCAAGATTTACCATATCTAAAGAGAGGAAAGTCAAGTAATCACTATTGTTTTTTAATTTCATATTATTAGAGCACTTTTAAAATGTGAGTTTTTTAATGAATTTTCATTTTTTGCGGGATAGCCTCATAATAGGATTTTTCAAAATGTGATATGGGCTCTGAACCTTATCAAATATCCTGTGACCTGTAGAACCTGAAATGATTTATTTCAAAATACAAGTTTTGTATCTGGGGGAAACTTGTACCGTCAGCCCTGAATTCACAACATATAACTGAAATGATTTATTTCAAAATACAAGTTTTGTATCTGGGGGAAACTTGTAGCGTCAGCCCTGACTTCACAACATATAACATTATCTATTTCCATTAGAAGGTTGACATCGTGAGCCGCTTCTGGTAACCCAAATAAAAGTTGTGTAAATACTAAAAAAAAAGTATTTTTTTTTTAAGTTGAACAAAAAAAACAGTAACAATTTGAACACAACGAATTTTTATTTATTTTTTATTTTATTGTGGAATTGTCCCTTGGGTTTCGACGATGTTAAAATGACATGTTGTTTCCATTTATTTGAATTAAAGATTTTACTGCTAGTGTAATTTTTTGTATTGCATTACTGTTATTAGGTTATTAAATAATAATACATTATTTATTATTGTGAGTAATATTATTAACTATTATTATTATTATTAATTAATAAGTAATAATCATAATAATATTACCGTATTTAGCGTTGTGACTAGCGTAATGTGGCGACAGATGGCACCACTTGGAGCAATTCATATATCATGTTTTTTTCTCTCTTTGTCCAGCTTGATGACGTCACGTGGGGGAGGTCGTGTAAACGAGGCGTCGAACCAGCGTCGTTTTGGGCGGCAAGATGATGTCTGCCGGGACTAGCAGCCAGCAGGGAGCGACAAGCCAGTCTACTGCGTAACCGCAGACAACCGCCAAAATGTTGAACGTAAGCACAGCAGCAGCGGGGGCGGCGGCGCCATTACTAGCCTTTGCCCTTACCACCCTCGCCACCCCCACGCCCACATCTCTGGACCCACCCACCACCGCCTCCGGCACGCCCACCATCGACCCATACACCACGCCCTTCTCCAACACCACCAACACCACCGACCTGGAAATGAGCGAGTTTGAGGACGTGAGCGGATACAAGACGTTCCTGGCGGGCTCCCGGTACGTGGTACAGCGGGTACTGGTACCCATGGTGCTGATCGTGGGCGTGGTGGGCAACGCCGTCACCATCGTGGTCCTCACCAGGCGCCAGATGCGCTCCTCCACCAACAACTACCTCACCGCCTTGGCCATCTCAGACCTGCTTTACCTGGTGTTCATCTTCTCCCTCTCCTTCCGTCACCACCCGGGCATGAGTCGGCCGCACCACTGGTTCTACTGGCATTACTCGCGCTATGCTCTCTGGCTCACTGATGCCTCCGGTGAGTATATACTTCCCTCTTGTATACCGCGATGCTGCACCAAGCACGCGCGCGCATACACCCACACTGTCCCGGTACTGAGAGGTAGGAGCTACGAGGAAAGGCTACGGGAGCTAAACCTCACGTCCCTGGAAGACAGGAGAGTAAGGGGAGACATGACAACCACCTACAAAATTCTTAGGAGAATTGGGAGGGTGGATAAAGACAAACTATTTAGCACAGGTGCAACACGAACAAGGGGACACAGGTGGAAACTTAGTACCCAAATGAGCCACAGAAACATTAGAAAGAACTTTTTCAGTGTCAGAGTAGTTAACAGGTGGAATGCATTAATTATAGGCAGTGATGTGGTGGAGGCTGACTCCATACACAGTTTCAAATGTAAATATGTTGTTGTTGTTGTGTTGATTTAGGGGCGACGACGATCGTGGGATCGGATGCGCCCCGGCTGCCCGATACCGGGAAATAGCGGAGGGATGGGGTCCCTATAGTCTCTTCAGGCTATAGACCCTACAATCTCCTCAGGCCACATATTTTACAGTCTCTTCAGGCCACGGACATGACGGATGAAGCGGAAGGTATGGCGAAGGATGTCATGACGAACGTCTTCATCTCTCGCACCTGCCCCGTCAAGGAGAACGGGAACTGTGAGGCGGGGAATATTCAGCCTACGAACAGCACTCTGTAGTCTGACGCGAGCGCTATGAAATCGAGGGCAGTGAAGAAGAAGGTGCTCCACTGTATCCTCCTGGGTCGGACACCACTGGCAGTATGGGGAATCTACCAGCCGTAGACGATGGAGATGTGCGACCAGGCAAGTGTGCCCAATCCGGAGACGAGTGATGGCAGTGTCGAGGAGTCGAGAATGATGACATGGACGTGAGGTGGAATCAAAATTGCGTAGAAATTGCGTCTTCTTAAAAGGGAGCGGGCATTCCAAAACACTACAGTATTCTCAGGATGGGGCGCCATTATCCCTGAAATACAACAGCTAACTTTTTGACCACCAGTGCACAGACGTCTCCAAAGGGGGAACCACTAGAAAAAGCCATAAAACCCTCATACAAAGTAAGTAAAATGTGTGGTATCAATGACTTCCAGTCCAGAGGATGTTGATCTATGCTTCTCTCTGCCTGACGGAAGCGGTGGTCGGCTCGCGAAACTCTCTTGACGGCGTCTGCGACTGGTGGGAGCCTCACTCTGGGCCTCATGTTCCCCCGGTGTCACAATCCCTTGGGAAAGTGCCTGGGGGACCAGAGGATCATCAGGACTGTCTGTTGGAGCAGTACCTCCTGATCGATGGGTGTGTCGACGACGCCGGTGTTGGCTTCTTTCAGGAGAGGCAGGAGGGTGACGAGTGCTAGGCTCCGGCCGAGAC